TCCATGGTCAGGTAGAGCAGAGCGTTCGACGGGTCTCCGTCTCCTTCACCTTCTCCCGTGGCGAGCCGTTCGTCAAGCTCGCGCTCGAGCAGTCGTTCGTCTAAACGGCCGGTTTATCTGTTCGCCGGATCGGCATTGTCTTCCCTCGGCAGCCCCGGAAGCCGTTCGGAAGCGAGAGAGGCGCAGGTCGAATCAGTGGACGCGCGGGTGCGAGAGGATGAGAAAACAATTTAGCTCGATCAACGTTTCTAGCCGGAATCTCAGCCGTCGTCTTCTAATTAAACCGCTGTCCTGCGCGGGTATAAAGTCGGAGGTTATCACCGCGGTATCTGATCCCCGGGCTTTAATCCGACTGTATTTCCAACCGTTTTAAGCGGTCGTCTATACGCACACGCGAGCACGGCTACGTATTTATATATATGGAACGAACAGAAGCTCTCGGCAACGGTCTCATTTCCTGTCTGCGGGGGTCCCGCAGGGTATACGTAATTAGCCGGAGGGAGGACCTAAGGAAACGACCTTCGCTCTTCCTCCCAGGGTACACCCGTTCATCGATTGCTCCTGGAAATTATCGTGAAACGGAAGCGAGAACACGTTCGGCCGGTGAATTTCCACCGGCCCCTCGGAATTGAGATTATTTTTCAAGGAGCCAAGGGTCGACACGGAGTTCGGTTCGTCTGCTTCCCCCGCGACGACCGAACGCGGCCCCGTCTCTCTTTTTCTCGTCGGAGCGCCGGTCTCGGTTCGGTCGGGCCAGTTCGCGATTAACTCGACCACGGGTGTATCAAAGCGAGAAGACGTACAACGAGAAATTAATCTCAATCGTCGCCGGGCCGAGGCCCCGTCATTTATCACGACTCGTTACCGGGGATGCGAGCGCCGGAATCCAACGGATTGATATGAAGTCGGCAACGGTAGTCCGCGCCCGATTGTGTCGTGACTGCCGCTGAGATCTATTAGTCAAACCGAGCCCCGAGTGCCGAAACGGGAAATGGAAGAGAAGAAACCTGCTGACTGGCAGCGCGCACAGCGAGGGAGTACCGAAGGGAATTCGAAACGGAGATAGAGGGGAACGTTGATTCACCCGGTAGCTTTGTAGACCGTGTATCGTCGTCACGAGTACGACGATGAACTCGCGTAAACGTCGCAATTAACGCGGCACTCACCCTCTTCGCTCTGGCTCCGTCGTCAGATAAAATCTGTACGAGTAAGGAAGACCCCGTTCAACGGTTCTAGCTCGAAAATAGAATTCGCTAACTTTAATCGCCTGAGAAACGGACCAATTCTCGTGGGGATCACGTCGAAACGTTGATGAACACGTGGACTGGTAAGGGGAATTAATACCGCGAGTCGGACGTCTTATTCGGCGCGCATCGATTTGATCAACGAGCAGAGCGGAGTAACTGGAATTCCAGGCATCCGGTGATTGAATCGGCCCGGAGATACACCCCTCAGCAGTCCGAGTGGTCGGTTTGATAAATGCTGTCCGTCTGCCGATACGTCGGATAATATTTGCGAGCAGATCCGGCAGAAATCGAAAGGCAGGGGCGACGGGATCGGGTGTAATTCGATTCCTTCTCCTCTCTCGGTCCCTTTATATTCCGCTCGCCCGTGGAAGTCGCGTTCTGACGCTCGAACTCGATCGCTCTGCCCCGAAGCCAATTTCTGCCCGACAGACCTCTATCTTGAATTATGTTTCTCATATTTTCTCCCTCCACCGAGACGCGAGCGTCTTCGGTCACGTGAAGGCTGAACGGCGAACCTCCACCCGCGGCTCTTCATGTATTTTTGGACCGATGTTTCGCGAACGATTCTTCGAACGCGCGTGTCCTCTATACGAGATAAATTCGGACGGGATGTTTCTCAGAGTTTTCACGTTCAACCAAGTTGCGAGGTCCGTAACGCGAGTCGTCCCGTTGATAATTATGAGAGTGACGCGAGAGGAAAGGCAGGACGCGGGTGGCGAAATAAGGAATATCTCCTCGCTAACCGTCCCGAGACTCGTTACCGACCCCTTTCGCCTCGGATGTCACAGCGGCGGGGAGGGTGGCATTTTCGGGATCGCGCACTTTGGATCCCGTTACCTGACCCCCCGTCCGGCTCGTTTATTATTTGGACTCCGGAGCGGAAAGTTCCGTAAGCGAGGCGTGTACCCGTTGGAGGAAAGCGCGAGACCAAGGGCCCGGTGTCGTTCATCCCCTTCTCGAACCTGTAACACAATCGCGCCTCGGATTCCAGCGGCGTAATTAAAATTACGACGGCGCCGCCCCGGTCAATCGTCGCTCGACGAAAAGGGTAGGCGGGTATCGACGTCCCCCGCGCGGGTACACACGCACATGTGTGTACATACGTATCGTTTATCGAAAAAGCCGCGCCGGCATACTTTCGCCAATTTGCCCGGCTCTTTGTCCTCTTGAAATTACAACTGTTCCCCGTCATTATCGGAACGTGGGTTACGCGACCCACGATGCTTTTGATTTTTCGATAAAAACGTCAAAACCGGTGCCAAACACCGAGGCACCTGCCAAAGGAACCGAACCGTTGATTAAAAATGGCCGCTGGTATGCACAGAAACTATTGCCCTTCGACTGCATTGCCAATTTTACACGACGAGATTAGACCGTTTCACGTTAGCTCATCCGAGTATTACGAAAACGTACGGAAACTTTCATTTCTCGATTGCGTTCACGTCGAGATCAGGAGATTCGAGATTTAAGCGTTTGCCAGGGATGAAATCGCGAGCCCGATTCTATTGGAATCGGTTCGTCCGCGTTCGAAATACGGCTGTTAATGAACTCCCGCTGTGCGGGCCGCTCGTTTCCCAGCATCGGCCAAGGGATCCCCGCGGAGTTCGTCATTACCGAATCAAAATTAAAGGCAAAGATCCGAAGAAGAACGGCTTATTAGTCGCTACGTACTGTACCATGCTAATGGATGCGACGAGGATCGATCATCGACACGATGTACCTGAAATAGTCGGTCAAAAGAAGTTCTGATCTCTGCAGATCACGTCACGTTTCATCGTTTTGACGTTGACAAAAAAATATTTTACTCGACGGAGCGAGGCACCATTTTCTGCGGCGTTGAAAACGTCTGGCAGGCGAGTGGAAAATTCGGCGCGATCCTTCGCTCTCAGGACGGGGTCGAAGCGCTAATTATTCGCGACTAGGCCGTAGGAAAGCCGTAGGCGCGCGTAATGAAATCCATGATGTATTAACGCGGGCGTGCAGTCGCGCCGGGACAGGTAAACGCGGGCGATCGCGCGCGTAAACGCGCGAACGGGGGAACCGTGAAGACGCCGAGATACGCTCGCCGTAATATTCGACTAATTACAAATTTAATAACCTTGCCCGGTTACGACGACGTCTAAGCGAATGGGTCCCCTTTCTCCCGGGCTCCGTGTGCCCCCTTCTCTCCTAATTTCGACTCGTGTCTTCGTCTCCCTCGCGCCGCGGCTTCCCCCCTTCGTTCGAATTCGTCGGGTCCGGTGAGAAAAGGTAGCCAGGAGGCGGATACCCATCGTCCGTCTTAATCGACTCGTATTACCAATTAAAATTTAATTATCTCCGAAGTTGAGTCGTCACGATATCAAAGCTTCGCATTTATTATTGCCATCGTCCGATCCAATCGATTCCTGTGTAAGATTTGAAAAGATCGTAAAATTAGTCGCGAAACGAGGGAACGTCTCGGTAGCTCGTAGAAGAAAAAGAGAGGCGAGGACAGGAGAACGGGAGATTCTCCTCTTCCATTCTGGTGAACGCGGCCGTAACTTATCGCTCGTAGACGCACGGTATTTCTCTCCGGCTCTTTGAAAGCATTTTCTCATTAAAAAATTAAGGTTCGAGGGGTCGCGACGGGTGGGGTGGGCGTTCTCGCGGGTTCGCGCGGTGCCGACCCCGGACGGGAGAGAAGCCGTTTGCGGCGGGGGTGCTCGGGTGGCCGGGTCGGTAAGTGCTCTGCGGCTCCCAGATGCGCCCAATATTATGTTTAATGATATTAACTTCTTACTTAATGGTCCGCGGTTCGATTCGAGGTGCGAGCCGCCCTCCACGCACCGTGCCGACCTCCAAGAACGAACCGTACCCCGGAGAATAATTTGCAAAGTCGAGGAAAGAATCGTTGAGAGTTCGTGACTTCGTCGGGCCGTCTAATCGACCGAAGAACGACCCTTCTCCGTTACTCTCGAATCTGTGTGTACAAGTAATTTCTATCGGAAGCAGAATGGTAAATTTTTTTTATCCTGAGAAACGCCGAGACGTCGTCGGAGGAATCTGTACGACGTCGAGGTGCGAACGTTCGATACCGCGACAACGGCCGGTTAACGTCAGACCCTCGGCATCCGGCTGCGAGTCTTAACGATTCCACGGGCGAGCTACCGGAGGAGAGCCACGAGGGCCGAACAATATAGGGGCAAGATTAAAAGTTTCGCGGTGCAGAGGCATAAAGGCCGGCTGGTGTAGCTTAACGAGCCCGGCCCTCGTAAAGCCGAACATTCGAGGAAACCGGGAGAGCAACAAAATAAAAGAGGGGTAACTGGTATCCGAGAGCATCGCGAAACCACGGAACGACTCTCGGTGGCGCAGCCTCGCTCTCAGATGCAACGCCAGATACATTGTCCCATTAAAACCCGACGATGTGTACAATTACTGTAAACCGATAAATTGTACTTGAAATATCTCTGTCTCCCCGATCGTTGTTTACTCATCCCCGCGAGACGAACATACGGGAACCGGTTTTAACGATCCTCGAGGCGACGCGCGACAACTGCGCGTGAAAAATACGAGCGAATCGATTAACGTCGATGATCGAACAGAACGCGCGGCCCCGACGACCGGGCCAGACCCCGGCACTTATCTACCTACGCTCCCAGCCGCGACGCTGCAATAATTATTTAATTAACGGGCATCGGGACGAGTCCACCTCCGCTCCGACTCGATTCTCCTGTCCACCCGCAATAATCGATATTATACTAAAGCTTTTCCCTGTATCCGATGTTCCAGGCTCCGCGAGGAGAGAGGAGACGCCGAGAGGGCACTAGCGCTGGACCAAAAACCCAGGGATCTGAGCTCGCACAATGGTAAGATAAATACGTGTACGCTCGTTTACCGTAATTACAGTAATCGGCCGATAATACGGCGAATAACGCCGAGTCGTATTACGGGCCGCGCACTATTACGAACGGAACGATCATCGCTTTTTCTCTTGGCGACCGATCATCTCTCCGTGATCCGAGGCCGTCGCGGATGATCGCCGATCCTCCGACGCTCCGTGCATCGTTCCATACATGGACAGTTCTCGCTTTTCTATCAGAACATTTCGTATTCCGTAATACATTTCATGATATCAATTTACGAAATGAAGCATAGAACGAGGTTTCCTCGACTCTCAATCTCTATGCGATAAACGCGTTCTTCGTATCGATCGATCATCGAAAGTATCGAACGTAAACGCGGTTCCATTAACGGGAAAAGAGAGGAGCTGTGGCGCCCGAGGGGCACGAAGAAAGGACGAATCAACCGAGCGTGCCCAGTGCTCTTGGGACCAGTCCTTTTCTCGATTTCTTTATTTCTGTTGGCCGAGGCCCGGCCAAGCGTTTAGGGCCTAAACTCTAGGCGGCCGAGAAAGAGATTAAGTTCGATATCGGGTTACGGGGCACCGCGCGGCCTCGTCCTTTCTTCTGATTCCCCGTAATATTTTAATCCGTTCGATCGAACCTTTTATCCTGGTGGCGCGGGCGTACTTCTACGCCAGCGACGACTCCTCGGATCTGATCGTGTTCGGGGCCCCACGGAATCAACGGGGGATTTCGAGTCGGACGTCGACCGGGCGTGCTTAATCGACCGCGGCCTACCGGTACCAACCGCGAAACGATTCTCGTTTGTCGATAGAACTCGGCCGATTTTCAAGAATACCTCACAATTTTTATTCTTAAATTATTGAAAAGTAGGAACGTTCTTGTTTCTGACAACTAGAGCTACAATTTTTATCTTGAACATTTTTCGCTAACACGAAGAACAAGTTTTAGCAATAAACAATTTTATTTCTTAATTAATTATTGACACTAGCTGAAAACTTTGTATACAGAAATTGTAAGTATTGAGGATCTTCACAAGAAAGATTCTATGAATTTTTCTTCTAACTCGAGTATTTAACAAGTTACATATGATTATTTGGCATTTTATTGATGTTGACAAAATCCGACCATC